TTTTTTTTTTTTTGCGGCGGGTCAACATTCAGCTAGAGACAAAAAGTTAGGAATTTTTTTATTTTGTCGCAATGAAAACGGCCTGCATTCGCACCTAGTCGCCGGAATAAATTTTTAATTCTCAAGCTTCTTGATTCGTTCAGCCTTTCTTGTACACCATTCTCTTTTTATAAAGATATTTTGTTCATTCCTCTTTTTTTTTTTTTTTTTAAATTGTATTTTATAAGTGTATTTTTAGCCGGACGAAAATATTGAACTCCCGGAGCCAAAAATGATTCGTGCAGAAAACAAAAAAGTTTTCTATTTTGATGTCAACCATAACGACCGTGGAACATTCATTCGAGTTTCTGAAGTATCGATTTTTCGCGTTAAATGAAGTATCTTTTAATATTCCAGCAGAAAATGGGAAGATTTTTAGGTGAAACAAGTGACTGGTATCCGTTCCTCGATTGCCGTCCCACAAAGTGCTTGGTCATCGTTCCGCGATGCTTTCAACGACTTTCTGAAAATTATGGAAAAACCGAAAGATGGAGCTGTTGCAAATGGAACAATGAAAGAAAGAGGGGACTGAAAATTTTGATCTTCAGTTTTAGTCTTCTTTATTTTAACGTTGACGTTTGAGTATTCTAATTTACTTTAACAGTTGCTATTTGAAGTTCTTAGATGTTAAGCTTCTTTAATTGACGAAATTGATGTTGATTTTTTATTTGGGGGGTAGAAAACCTTTCTGAGAGTGGTTTATTGCTGAGGATTCGAGAGTTTGATTTCTTTAATACATCTTTGATTCAGTAGAAATCATTCCGTTGATGTTCAAACGTTCTTTCCTCCGTTATCTTGTTACCTCTATGCAAATCTGTTATGTTTGCTTTAAAGAAAAACAATTTTTGGTTAACGTCGTTATTACTCTGCATTTATGGCGTGGCAGCTGTCAACCGAAGAGTTGTGTCCTTTCAAAGCATTTGTTGAGATTAATTGCAGTCATGTTTCCTTTATCGTAAGAATCCGTTAGTGTTAATCAATCCCTTAAAATTTCTGCGCTTTAGCTAATGTTTGTTTATCAATAAAGGAGTCTTATTGGAAAGTAAGCAGTTGCGCTTTTTACAGTTTCTGATATTGTATTAGAGTGTGTGTTGGTGGTGGTGGTGGAACCAATTGTATTCTGTGTGAACTCTAATATTTGGTATCCACTCCGAGTGGATCTGAACTGGTTCTTTTTTTATGTTTTAACTTTTATGAATATGGTCGGAAGTAATTTGCAAGTCGTTTCTGCGTTTTTATTTTGTTGTCGGAGTTCAATTTGAGAAGTCGTTTTTCAGGTTGAGCGTTTCGAGTTGCCGGGATCTTATTTTGTGAGGGGTTAGTTCTCGTGCTTATTTCTTAAATTAAACTAACATTTTTCCTGATTTTGTGTGGTTTGAGACAGCGAATGCTGTCGTTAGATGGTGTTTTCGGTCCTTTAGTGAGGTAAGACCGTGGAGATTATTTTCTTGTACTTATTGTGTGCTTCTTCCAGCAGGCAACTGTGCCGTATGCTAAACAAGCAGGTAGCGAAGTGTGGGTTGTTGCTTATTTCATCTGAATGGTCACTTTCTTTTGATGAAAGTAGCCTCGCGTTTAGCTAAGTTCTGACCCCCCTTCTCTCTAATTTAGGCAAATCTTGATACAACTTTTTTCTCTGGGCCTGGTGAGCTCAGCATTTTAATATTATTCCAGTTAGTCTTGAACAGTCAGTTATGACCCTCGGTTTGCTGTAACATAAGTTCCTTGCAACTAAGGCCCATTCATTTACTACAGCTCTGGTCAGACATCAGATTAGGTTTAAAAGGCACCACCTGGTTGACTCAGACTTTCATTTGCTATATTCTATAGCTGCGGCATAAATGTATTATGTTGACTAAAGAACGTCGAGTGTTAATTGATCTCATTCTAGCTGAAACAGTGATTTGGTTCTTCACATTGAAATTGTCGGAAGCAGTTGAACTTTCTGAAGTTTCCTCGTTGGTTATGCCGATAGTAACATGTTGAAGTTTTCATAAGTAATGTTACAGGGAGAAATGGACAGCGGTGAACCGTGGCCACTGGAAAGCCTCGTTGATGGAGCAAGACTTCATGTTCGGATGACAGGGTCTGGCGAGTACAGTAAGTGTTAGTAATTTGATGAGTTAAGCGTTTACTTCGGCTTATACACTGGTAGAAGAAAGTGTGGCTTTTTATATGAATCCTCTTCATGCTTGACTCCAGAATTCTGTTTATTCATGAAAATGGTTTTGAACAAACTGCTATTGTTTGCTTTTTGAGAAGGATTACTAGCTGTTGGCTATTCTTAAAACTTCTTGCTTTT